GCTATATTTATTAAATTCACATTTTTATTTATGATATATACTGAAACATTATCAATAAGTAATAAAATGTTATACCATTATAATATCTAACTTTATAAGATAAATATTTTATACTGAAACTTGTATTTAAGCTGTTAAATTCTAATAATAATTAACTAATAATTCATTTTTTCATGTAATATTAGTGGATTTTGATAGGTATAAATAAAAAGTAACTTCAACTTTCAGTTTCAGTTATATTATATGTAAGAAGAAGAGTAAACTGCTTTTTAGATTTTTTTCAAAAAGTGGACTCTGTGCTAAAATTTTTGAAGGTTCAAATTTCAATATAATCCTAAAATAAACAAAAATATTAATATATTATTTTAAATTTTTTAAAAAAATTTAGAATTAATACCTGTTTCATCATAATTAAAAATATCATTTAAATCATAATTTTCAATAATTTTATATAATATTTTTCTTTTTTTCTTCTAATATTTCTAATAGTGCACTTTTTGCTTCATTTTATTTAACATATTCTTTTAAATGATATTATTTATTTAAATTTATTAATCCATCTATTAGAAATTGTAAAATTATTAATTTTAAATCCCTGTGTAAAATTTTTTGCCTTTTCACGTAAAATATTACTATTAATAATAAGGTTTGTAATAAGTATACTTATTATTCATATTGCAAGAGCCTTGAAAATTTTTAATAAGATAATAATATCAAAGATGAGTACTAAAAAAAAATGAAATCAATATTCAAAAAAATATATTATTTTAACATAAATTAATGAAAATTTAAATAAAAAATTTTTTTTACTTAATAAATTATTTCGTTAAACCTTATAATACTTTTGTTATTACAGGAAATTTTATTATTTTAAATTACAGAATATTTAATATCATTTTATTAATAAAATACAAAATGATTTCAATTTAAAAAAGAAAAGTTTCTAACATTACATGGAAATATCATATAATATATAACTCTTATACGTCGTTTTTACAAAACTTTTTATTGGAAATACTTAATCTTTTATAATTTATTACGAACTTTATAACCAAGTTAAATACCTTTAACTATAATTATGATTTCCAAATATTGAATTCAAGAACTTTATTAATTTATTCTTAAGAGTGTGTATTTTTAATTCTGATCTGTTAAAATATAAAGTATGAAAAGCATCATGGATAAGATTTATCAGTTAACAAATTCAGTTTCTAAAGAAACTGAAATAAATTTTACGTTAAATACAGATGTACAATATATTTTGGCACGATTTATTTTTTTTCGATTTCAATTTTATTAGGATAATCTTATAATTTTACAGTAACTGTTAGTGTTAATTTATAAAATCACCTATTACATTAAACGGTATTTTATACATTTAGTGATATCAATTTGTTGAATATTTTTTGATGGACTTATATTAATAAATTACTTTGGTCCTACATAAATAATTAAAAATTGATTAGAAAAAAAAAAAACTTTAAAAACAATAACAAAATATTAATTAAATAAACATTTACCGAGCATTTGTTCTGGCTTAACATATTCAACAAACTGCTCGGAAGTGAGAAGTCCTAATTTGATCGCGGATTCTTTCAACTTTTTGATTAAAGTTATAATATATATATATATATATTAGCAAATTAAATATCAATTAAATATAATGTGATAATTAGAATTTACCGTCAAATTTTCTTTATGTGCTTTCTTCGCTACAGCAGCTGCGTTATCATATCCTAAAATATAAATATTACAATAACATTAATTCAATTCATCTTAATGAGTATTTGATTTCAAAAATAATTACCAATATGTGGATTCAAAGCAGTAACAAGCATAAGGCTTTGTTGCATAATCGTATTAATCTAAAATCATTCAAATATTATTAAAATTTAAAACATATGATTGATAAAAGTGAAGAGAGAGTAATGACCTTTTCTTCATTAGCCTTGATCCCGACAACACAATTCTTTGTAAAGGACACACTTGCATCGCCCAAAATACGGATCGAATGAAGTAGATTTTTAATCAGAACAGGTTTAAATACGTTTAACTAATAATAAAACATTTAATATTTATCGTTAACAACCTTTTAAAAAGAAGGTATATACGACTGGAAATTAAAATACGATGTATAAATCTCACTTCGAAATGTCCATTGGAACCAGATATAGATATGGCAGTATGATTACCCATTACTTGTGCAGCAACCATTGTCATAGCTTCACTTTGGGTTGGGTTAACCTTACCGGGCATAATTGAAGATCCAGGTTCGTTTTCGGGAAGTGAAAGTTCACCGAATCCACAACGTGGTCCAGAACCTAAAATATTATTATGGTTAAGTACAGGTCATTTCTATAACGTAATAAACCAATATTTAAAAGCCTTACCAAGAAGACGTATGTCATTTGCTATTTTCATTAAAGAGACGGCTACAGTATTGAGAGCTCCACTGACTTCCACTATAGCATCATGAGCTGCCAACGCCTCGAACTATTAATATTATTGCTAAAAGTATTTAGCTAACGTGCAAACACAGAAAAGTTAAAATATCATCGCAAAATCAATTACAAGCTGACCTTGTTAGGCGCTGTCTGGAATGGTAATCCGGTTATCTTCGCAATTTCATTAGAAATATTTACGTCAAATCCTTTACGGGTATTCAATCCCTAAGGAGATTTTAAAAATGAATGTTAACATATGTGTTTGACAAGGAAGCGATTAAGTAAAATCTAATTGATTGCTTACGGTTCCAACGGCCGTACCACCTTGTGCTAAGTAATATATTCTTGGTAAAGTTGTTTTAACACGCTCAATACCAAATGTCAATTGTTGTGCGTATCCAGAGAATTCATTGCCAAGAGTAAGCGGTGTAGCATCCTATCAATTATTTTATTTTATTTTATTATTAGTATAACATTATTTATAGTAACTTCAGAGATTTACTTCCACAGTTCACGATAAGTAATCATGATTGGATGTTTTACAACGTGGCAAAATCCACCAATCAAATGCATTATTCATAGTAACTGGGAAGACTATCGGCGATTCCCCGTGAAGTTACGGTATAACTATCCGGTTCAGATAATTAAACTTTTGCTGTTGCAAATTACTCCTTGGCAAAAGTATAATTATCATACGCGGCCGTGTAATTATTAATGAAACACATAAAACATACTTGCAAATGAGTTCTTCCTATTTTAATTATTTTTTCAAATTCTTTTGATTTTTCCGCAATCGCGTCACGCAACAGGGTCAATCCGGGAATAAGTCGCTCGTTAATTTCGATAGCTGCGGACACATGCATGGCTGTAGGAAAACTATACCAATTATAATTAAAAGTCCGTAATATTTATATAGTGATATTTTTTATTAAAAGATATACAAATATAATGGGTGTATTGAATACTAACGTGTCATTTGAGGACTGACTCATATTCACGTGATCATTGGGGTGAACCGGATTTTTGCTTCCAAGTTGACCACCTAATATTTCGATGGCTCTATTTGCAATGACCTAAAAATTTTGTATCGCAAAATCAAAAAGATGAATTTGAAAGGAATTTTTTTCATCGCAAAAAAATAAATTGACACGTTTGTAATTACCTCATTTGCGTTCATGTTGGTTTGTGTTCCAGAACCTGTCTGCCACACTACCAAAGGAAAATGATCTAAAAGTTTTCCCTTGCTCACCTACAATTTCATGAAAAGATTAATAGTTTAAAAAGACCTTCCGGAATAAATAATCAATTAAAATTGATATACCTCCTCTGCAGCCTGGATGATAGTGTTACCTATTTTTGGGTCAAGACCATAGGTCATATTCACAGTAGCAGCAGCTTGCTTTATTATACCGAATGCCTTTATCAAAGGTTCAGGCATGCGTTCGGTTGGGCCTCCAATGTCAAAATTTTTGAGAGACCTATAATTAAATAATATAATTACAATGAAAATGAAATGACAAGTGTACTACTCCATTAAAGGTTCTAATTTATTTTTTTATACTGTAGTCAAAAAATGTTCGTTAAAAATAATAGGAATCATACCTTTGAGTTTGCGCACCCCAGTAACGGTCCGCAGGAACCTCAATGTCACCAAACGTGTCTCGTTCAATTCTCAGTTTTTGCTGTGAAGTCATGTCAATAAAAAAGATAATAAATAATATTTAATAATATTTTTGTGTTTTTATATAATAAATAATAAAGTATAATAAGTACACGCTCACGTGATATGAAAAGAAATGTAGCTGTGCGCACATTTATCTTACCCAACGTGATGGAACAATGCTAAATGAACGATATTGTAAGCAAGCAATCTATCATGTAAAATAAAAAGAAACAGAGATAAAGATGAGTCAACATTTTTTAAAATGAGGATTTTTATCAAGATGGAAAAAAAAAATCGTACGGGTTTGATGAGTCTTAAATTCTTCAACATTTTGTATAACAAATAATCGTAATCTCAAGGGAATAAATTTAAGTGATAAATTTTATAAAAAAAGAGCAAAAAGGACAAGCGACTTGAATTATCGCGAATAGATCTTCCCCACCGAGATTTTAAAATTTTTTTTTTTTTTTTTGCGCGCAGATTTGTTTGTAGATCATAAAAATTGAATTACAAATATTACAAATCATAATTTTAAATCGGTTTTCTTTTTAATCTAATCATTTCATTCTAAAACCAAAAGAATCTTTATAGATAAATAAAATCACCTGCTAATGATATTTCATTTAGAAGGATCATTTCGACAGATCTTTTTTTTTTTTTTTTGTGAATATCTCCTCGTCAGCTTGTTTACAAATAGCAATTTAATAAAGCAATTTTTGGTATTTTAAAATTGGGATGCTTCATTTTGAAAATAAATAAATCGTAATTTTATTTAGAAAAGGAGCGAAAGAAATAAACGATTTTCGCAAATATAATTGATTCAACTAAGCTATTAAATTAAGTAAAATTTCCAGCATTTTAATAAATTATCGAATAAATTTTCTAAAGATATCTTAGACACGCAACTCGGAAGAATCCTCCGGTTTGTTCTTTTTAAATCCGATGATTCCAAAACAAAAATCTAACCACATTCTTGCAAGACCCCACCAGAACAAAAGAATGTTTATAGGTAAATAACATAACCTGCTAATAATATTTCCTCTAGAAGAAGTCATTTCGATAGGTCTTTGTTGTGAAGATAATTCTATGGAACCAGTTGCACCTACATTACCAAAAGAATTTTCTTTTGGAAAGGTTCCAATTAAAGATTTAATATTGGTATCACTTAATGAACTGTTCATATACCAAGTTCTCAAATTATCTCCTTGACCACTTTCATCAGCTTGCTGAACCGTATGAGTGAAACCCAAAACGTTAACTAATAAATTAACGCTAGCTCTCATAAAATCGGGACCATTTTGAGTAAATATATCATCCAAAAAGGTCCAGCTTATTAAAGTTGATTGTCTTAATTGTAATTGAAACATACGTAATAACGATTTAATGAAAGGTTTTGCACCTATCGAACTTTTATATTGCTTAACAAAAGTCGATAATTCCGAATGACGATGTAAAGATGTATATTGTGCCGGTTTAGAATTTAATAAACCGTTTAATTCTTCATGAAGTTCTATGGCTTTCTTACGATGGAATTCTGATCGTATTTTACGTTTTGTTTCAAGATATTTATCGAACTCTTTTGGAAATAACATTACACCGTTGTTAAATCCAATCTTATTAAAAAGTTGTTCTAAATCTTTTTCATTTTCCACCATAGTTTTGTCAACGTTGGAAAAATTTAAGGTTACTTCCCCGTTAGAATGAGAAGCAAATTCTACAAGTCCAACGATTGTGCCTGCAAGTTTATCATCATTCGTATAAAAGTTTGAACAAACTTCTTCCCAATTTTGAAGATATGTTTCGATAGATAAAGGGCTTCCTGAAGCCATTTCTCTATTTCTAAAGAATTGTTGAATGCAAGAGGAGGAGGAATTGGTGCATAAGATTCTAAAATAGGATTCTTTTATATTAAAACCTAAACCATAATTCTTTAAAGGGTTGCATTTCACATGATAATCTTTATGGATTAATATTAAGTGCCTTGAATGAGATTTAATTAATTTTTTTATGACCCAAAACGTGATTTACTTGAACGTTAATATACAGTTCTAAATATATTCAATAAGGCAATTCCTGTTTATGTGAACAATTTTGTATAATAAATGTTAAATTCGGGTTATATTTTCAGTTCAATATAATTAAATTATTTGATTTATTTTATTTGATTTTAATTTTTTTTTTTAAAAAAAAAAAAAAAAAAAAAAAAAAAAAGAGTAATATTTAATTTTAGACTTCTAAGTTTTTTTTTTTTACAATTTATTTTCGTCAACCGATTGTTGAATATTTACTGTTAGAGGATTCAATGAAGCTGCAGAGATTAATTCATGATTTGTATTGGAAGAATAAAGCGGTGGTTCGAGAGTGGAAGTAGGGCCAAAATGAGCATTATTAAATGAAACTTGAGTAAGATTATGATCCTGACAAATAAATTAAGAAAAATAAGTTAAAATGAAAAGAAACAAGTCAAAACATGTCAAGTAAAAATTCGTTACCTCCTCCGTGGTTGTATTATCTTCCGTGACATTCTTTTCGTCATAGGTTGATGGTTCTTCTACGGTGGTCTTATTATCATCATCATCTTCTTCACAGTCATCGATCCTTACATAATATTCGTCATTTGGTAGGTGTTGATTTTCGTCATTATACATCTAAAGGTTAACGAATTAGTTTATCATAATGAAAAAGATTTCGAATAAGGAATCGAGTAAAATCTCCAAGTATACCGCACCTTACTAACATCTCTAAAATAAAAGATAACCCCACCGATGATAATAGCACTTAATAATAAGATCGTTAAAGCAAAGTAAGCGCAACTGTTACGATTCTTAAATACCCCTTCTCGAATTCGATTCATGATCGATTCATGATTATGTTGATGGGGTTGTTTATTGGTGTTGGGGGTAACGTTTTCAATTATAGTGACAGAAGTCTCTAATTCTTGTAAATGACGACCATCTTTTGATGCGACAATTATATCCAACGTTTCTTTCGTTATTTTAATCCCACCTTTAAATTGTGTATTAGTATGTGTATTAGTATGTGGATTCGCTTTAGGATTGGTATGATCATGAACTTTAACATTTCCATTGGTGGTGGTGATCGGTTCATGTAAATGAGGTGTTTTCATGAAAATGCAAACCCACATGGGATTTACAATGGTAAGGATCATGATTGGAAATACTATTGCTAAAATCAATAACTTGATGGTTCCTATTCTTCCTATTGACTGAGGTTTTGATATGGAAGTTAAATGTGACTGAAGAGTCGTATCTGGTGTATACATCTTTGCGATTTGAAAAGTCGAGAAGAAAAAGTTCAGAGAGCAATTGTTAGTTTGGGAAGAATAATAAAAAAAAAAATTTTTTTTTTTTTTTTTTCATTTGAAAAAGCTGAGAATTTTTAAAAAAATAACGCAAATTCACAAGGGAATAAGCCATCACAAAGAACTTTTACACAGCCTCTTAACAAATTTATCGAATCAATGGGCTTCTTTTGAACTTTTATCGATACTATAAAATTAATTTTGGTATGGGATATCCAAATTTATCGAACTACTTAGCCACGAACGGTAACTTGGATTTGAAAGAATATAAACGTACTTACGAGATCAAACTCGTGATTTTCACGATTTTTATGATGATGTAAAGAAAGTTTTTCATCTGTTGTATAATTCATATTTTTTTTTTTTTTCTTATCTTATTAAATTACGTAAATTTTAAAGCTTTAATTTTACTTTTGGTTAAAAGAATTATTTTTAAATATTTTAATAAAAAAATTACATAAACATAATGTTTCTTTTTCGAAAATTTTTTGTTTTTCCTTTCTTTAAAAAAAAAAAAAAGTAAATCGATTAATCTAATATAATGGAAAAGAAGAAAATTTTTTTTTGTAAAAATTTCCGTGAGAAAATACTTTGAAAGATATATACACTTTTATATTAATTTAAAAATGTTGGTTTAAATTTTCATCATAAACATAAATTAAATATATGTATTTAATCTTTGATAACCCCCCAATCAAAAAGAAACTTGTAAAAGTAAAGATTTACGAAAGACAAAATGTACTAACTAATTTTGAACTTAAAATCAAATTGCCAAAATACTAATTTAGGAATCAAAGCCGTTTTTTGAAGACAAATTTCGTGTCATCTTTAGATTACTACCATTAATCAATCGTGCATTATTATTAAGATTTAAGAAGAGCATTCTGGCTTCTTTTCCAATTTTGAATGTAACAAAATTAACAAAGGAGCTTTTTACCAATAATCTTTTTTTTTAGAAGAAACCCCTCGGAAAACCTTGTCAAGCAAAGATCATCTGATCACTAACCTTAAACAGAGACATTAGTTAAGGTTGTAGAACTGAAGTATATAAAACATTTAGTTAGAAATAACTGCGATGATGTCTTTCTAATTATTTTTTTGGCAGATATATAAGAATATTATTAAAAAGAAATATCTAAATTGAATTCATAAATAAATGTATTCTTTCTTAATGTAATTTTCTTCAAAATTATCATATAAATTTATTTAGATTAGCATCCCTTCAGATTTTTTATATTTTACAATTTATTATATCAAATAGTTGGTTAATGGAAATATTATGAAAATATAAAGCAAATGACTATTCATTAATAAAATTTTACTTACTATTTTAATTTTTCTAGTTATAATGCAAATGTAAATGTAATAGGAATGTATAAGAATACTATAGCATATTTAATACATAATATGCTCTAAAATTTCAAATGTCCTTTGATCAAAAAATTGTAAAATAAATAAGATAACTTATTTTTTTTATTAGATAAGCATGTTATTCTTATTTCTAATATAGCATCAAAAAGATATATATTATATTATTAAAATGCAATTCTTAGAAATTGCAGCAGTTGAACAGGATGTCAAGAATTGATTTTTTTTAAAATTGTATAATAAAATACATGATTTAAAGTTTATATTAAAAGTTTATATTTATGTATAATCATTTATCACTAGAGGTAAATTATACAGAATTGATAGATTAATAATAAAAATAATTTATTAATAATATATAAGATTGATTAAAAAAGAAAAAAAATAATAAAAGAAATAAGAAAAATAAAGTGTAATTCACAATTAACTAAGCATTGTATATAGATTAAGTATATTAAGAGAAAAACTACTAAAAGGTCTATTTTTCTATAACTACTTAAATCTTAAATATATATTTTAAATTATATATAATATATTAAATATGTTAAATAAATCAAATATTTCAGATATATCAATTATGTTAACTTTTAATATAATAAATTTAATATAACAAATTTTATAATACAATAAATTTTGGTATAATACTGATTTTTTTATATTAAAAAAATTTTATTATATTGAATTTTACTAGTTAAAAGTTATATAATAATGTACAAAGAAAATTTTATAACACATATATATAAAAGATCCTTTTTTAATAAATTTATTTATAACAAAATTTTTTAATATAACTAAAAATAGCACTGTAACTAGTTGCAATCATGTGATGCTTATTTATTACAGGATTGCAACTAGTTATAACTTAATTTTATTAATATTGTAACTAGTTGCAACCCTGTGATAAATAAGTATTATATAATTACAACTAATTGCAGCATCATCTTTAAATATAATAAAGATTTAAAAGACTTAAAAAGAACTAGTTTATAAAAAAGAATAAAAAATACGCTAGTAAATATTCTTAAAGAAGCCTACTTATCTCAAGAAAAAGAAATTAAATTTACCAGTTAATTTTCAAAATTTAAAAAAACCAGTTCTAAAAAAGAGAAGAAAAAAATTATTATTAAATATTTTTAGAGAAGCTTACTTATCTCAAAAGAAGAAATTTAATTTATAAGATACAAAGAAGAACTGATCTTAAAAATAAGAAAGAAAAAATATTAAGAAAACAATTTTAATGAAGCTTATATATTCTAAAAAAAAAAAAATCAATTTATTATTTAATTATTAAGATCTAAAAAGGAAACTTTTAAAAAAAATAAAATAAAAATAAAACAATTCTTTTTCTTTTATCTAAAATTAAAAATTAATTAATAAAAATTTAATTATTAAAAACAAAAATAAAAATTTTAATAAAACCAAAATTAAAAATTAAAATTAAAAAAAATAAAAAATAAATGCAGTTATTAAAAAAAAAAAATAAAAAAAAATATATTCTAAAATTAAAAAAGTTATTTAAAATAAATAAATAAATAAAAATTATTTAAAATTTAAAATAATTACTTATTCTTATGTAATTATATAGATTACTTTAATTAATCTAATTGCATAATATTTTATTATAATAAATTATTTATTATATATACTAAATAATTCATTATAATAATAATAAATTTTCTTATAATGAAAATTCAATTATTTTAGATAGATAATTTATTATAATAAGAGTTAATTATATGTCAAATTTATTAATTATTATATAATTTAAAAATAAATACCTTATAACATGCTTTTTAATAATAATTTTTTATTTATAATATATATTTTATTATATTATTTATTACATTTATAATAATAAATATTTATTTATTATAAGATACTTATTTTCAAATTGATATTATATATTAAATATTTTTATTATATTATAACATATTATGGTCTGATGTAAAAAGATTGATACATAAAAATCGTTACCTAATTTTTTTATGTTATATAAAACTTCACAAACTAAACATATAATTATATAAATTACAGATAAGGTAAGGATGATTTTAAACTTTAAAATAAAAAAAAATTTAACTGCCTTTCTTTTCAAATGGACAACTTAAAATGAGACCAAAACTACCTGACTAGTAATGAAAAAAAAATGGTCATTCGTGTCTGTCAATACTTTTTTGATATCTTATAGAGTAAGAAGAAGCATTAAAACTTACCATTACATAAGGAGGTTGCTACAGCCCTTAGAATTAGGGAGGCAACAGTTGTGCAGGTAATTTTTGAGTACAATAAAGATAAAAATGATGAATAGTTACTGCAAAAAATATATGAAAGATCAAAAAAAGAATTTAATGACAATATTGTTAAAGTTATATGTACCTCTATTATGTCTTCTAACCATTTCGGCTTGCCACTTTCAACAAATAATTTGCGACAGAAGCTTGAAGAAAACGGCCATACACTTTCAAAATGGCAGTTACTTCATATACTTCACAAGCTTGAATATTATTTTGATCAAGGTGAATGTCAAAATATATTGCATGAATCTTCTCAAAATATTGCATTTCACGGTCATTATTTACAGTATCATTTTAAAAATTTGCAAAGATAAAATAATGTTCCTTCTAGACTGGAAGTATTCTTAGATGAATCATATTACCACTTATACCATACTACAAATCGTAATTGGTGCCAAGTCATAGGTTATGTATTCACCTAAACGTGGACCTCTAATTATTATTTTTAGTGCGATAATCATAATGTGTAATGATAATTCTAATAAACTTTTTGGCGAAATTATTCCTAATTCTCTTTTGTTATGGGATCCCTTCAATTAAACCACCTTTATCAAAAGGAAGAAAATAGGCTAATGCTAATGCCTAGGATAATATTCCTAATGTTATTCGAAATTCCAATATTGTAACTGATCAAGTTGATTACTATGGCAATTTTACAGCTGAAATATTTGAAGACTTGTTTGATAAACTTTGCGTTAACATTAAAGAACACTATAGATCAGTTGATATTCATATAGATGATGCTAGGTATCACAAATGCTGAGCTGAATAAGTGCTAACATTAAACTCAAAAAAGGATATGATAACTGAATGGTTATTATCAAATAGTATTAATATTCCAGAAAATTCCAATAAGGCGGAACTTTATGAATTAATAAAATTACACAAAAATAAGATTCCTTTTATGTGCATTCAAATAACTGCAAAATATAACCATAAATTATTTTTTACTCTGCCTTATTATTGTGAACTTCAACTGCTCGAGAGAGTTTGATCAACTGTAAAAGGTGAAGTTGCTAGAACTGGCCCTTATCCTAATCTTTTAGTTATTAGAGATAAATTATTACATGCTTTTAAAGAAAAGGTTACCTCTAAAGTTATTGTCAGATTTTGGAAAAGGGCATTTAATAAAACCAAAGAATATAAGGATTTAAATGACGATATATTATTTGCTGATAGTGACGATGAGGATTTTGAGATTGACGAAATTAATGATTAATAAAATTTTTTGTATTGAACTTAAAACTATAATAAAGCTTATATTAAATTATCCTTAAAACCCAAATTATAAATAAAATTATTTAATAATTTACATTAAATTTAAAAAAAAAGTTTTATTATAAACATATTGGTGTATCAATCTTTTTGCATCAGACTATATTATAATATTTTTTTCTCTTTAGTCAAAGAACTAAAGAACAATTAAATAATTTATTTCTTTTTTTAAGTAAATTACATATTTTCAATATCTAATATAATATTTAAAAATCATAAAATATTATTAATAAAAAATTAAAAAAAATATATATAATTCAGAATATTATATTAAATTATTTATATACCTTATAAATATTATATTGATATATTATATATTTTAATAATATTATATTAGAATATTTACATAATTATACCTAATAAAAAATTTGATATAAAAATTCTATAAAAATATTAAGTTTTATAACATATAATTT